ACGATGGATTCAAATATTCTACTGTTCCGCCTACATCTTCGGGGCGTCTGAATATTCCCGCAATTTCAAGTTCATCGAATTTTTGTTGTCATTCTACTAGTTTATCACAAGAGTACGGAGGAATCCGGCCATTGCGTTGTGGCGGCTGTACTGGTCCCATATTTACGACTACCTCAAAACGGCCAACAGCACCATTAAAACCTGGTTGTATGGGATAAAAAGTATTGTCATGTTTTGAATGCAAGGTGCGAAATTTCGCTCTTATTTGTGGTGAAAGAATATTGTCAGGGTCTACTAGTATTTCTTCCGAATACGGAGCTGTATACGGGTTAGGTTGACAAGGTGCTTTAGCCAAGTAAGAGTCTGGATTCTCGGAAACAATGGTCACCGGTAAAATCTGTGCTATATGTTCATAGCAACCAATAATTTTAGGGTCATCGGTGTCGTTGTGAATTGATAAGTCGGTACCATCAAATTCGACGATTCTAGGGGATACCCAGGAGTTCAGGCCTATACTATTACGTATGCTCTAGGTTTGATTGCAAGTTCTCTTTCGTTATACAAGCTGAATGGTAGTGGTACTTTAACAGACTCAGCTGGCCACAATACTTCGGTTTTTCCAGCATGGCGGGCAATATGCACTGTGGAACAATTGGTTTTCGAATTTGAGAACTGGGAAATGTCAAATGGCTCGCCTTAATGGAAGCTGATTGTAGATTTAGCAGGACGCAATGTGATATCATTGTCAATCATAAAAAGGGTTCCGACAATAATTTCATTGTCCAAGTTATCTATTACCAAGGCATTGAAATGAACTGATAATTTGCCCCTACTTAAGTGAATCGTCGTTTCGCCTAAGACTGATAAATACGACGTGCCATCAGCTTGAAGAACTTTTTGTTTAGTTTTGGTAACGCTAGCATATAAAATTTTCGTCAAAGAATGTGACATCAAATTCGACTCAGCCCCTGTATCGAGAAGGGCGCTGACAATATGATTGCCACAATACATCTTTAGGAGGGGGCTCGTTTGATATCTACGCGTCTTGCGCGTGTAAGATTTGAAGATGAACAAATTCTTACCTCTGGGTCGATGCTGTCAGTATGCGGTTTTTCTGCATGACTATATCTTGCTCTGGTTAAATATTCACGAGCCTTTTCTGGCAACTTTGGGCACTTGCTGAGAAAGTGGTTCGAAGTGTAACCAGCCAGCTTGCAATATGGACACTCCTTGTTAAGAGCTTGATTGTTATTAGATGCGACTTGATCAGGAAATCTTCGATTGTTGGCCATTTTATAAGTTATAAGTCCATGCAACTTTACCTTCTTCAATGGTAGTTAGTTCAATAGCGGCTGAAATTTCCGTCTTGATTGACGCAAGTGTACGGGTACGAAGTTCCGTACCGTGTTTTTGTTTCACTAGCTCGGGTAATCCGTCGTGGAGGAACACAAGCCACTGGAAAACAATGGAATTTTCAAGTGTCGGTGACATCTCTTCATCTTCGGTTGAGACAACACAGTGGTGTTAAATGGCACTTCCATTGTGAAAAGATTGTCTTCAACGAAGCCCATCGGCCGCTGGATTAAGTCTTCAGAACGCTCATCAATTTCGAGCTTGAAATTTGCGAAATCTAATAGATGTGCCCCGGTTGTGTGGATGCCATACCATAGTGCATACGAATCGATTGCCATATGTCATTCAAAGACGTTGAGTTCTTAACAATCGTATTTCTTGAAAAAATTAGCTATTTGTTTCAACATAAGGTCAAGTGTCGTATTTTTCTGAACAGCGGTTCTTCTCGATTCCTCTGTGATTTGTTCGCTGTCGTCTGTAAAATCTTTTAACAGAGAAGATTTGGTTCTCTTCCCCCAGGTGAATCCGACATTGAGGAATTGACTAAAGTTGCTGTCTATTGCAAGAATATATAGTAGGTTCTGGCGCCTTGATTCGAACAAGTTGATAGTCTCGAACTTGCTAAGCTGCCATTGTTTGGGAGCTTTAGAAGAAGCCATTTCAGTCCTCTTGAAGATTATTTCAAAGTGATAACGTGAAATTCGTTTTCAACGCATGCCACCACGCCATTAGTTAACTAAACTCTCCTGTCTAGTGCCGTACAAGCGAGGACAGAAAACACACGTTACTCCAAGCCTCGAATGTATTGTCGTAAACAAATTCACACAACTACAGATCACGTAATCAAGAACGTGCGCACAACAATAACAGAAGACAGCATAATAATCATTACAGTACCAATCTGTCGTGCGTTGACTTTTTTCATTAACCAATAAATTAACTGTAGCACACTCGCTAGCTCCTTGCAAAATTTGGCCTAAAAATTAATCATAGCAGTGAATGCTCGGACTTGAGATACATGTTCAGGACGGGGGCACCTACAGTTGCTTTAACCTCTGTCATATTATGTCTGTTAAAAACAATATCATGACCAAAGAAAGTAATTCAATCTTTCCTAAATTCACATTATGCTAAATCCAGTTTCAACCCATATTCTTCTAATTAATTTCTTCAAGTCGTTTCCCACTTTCCTCGGGTGATTTTCATCATTTGACCAGGCATCCGGTGATGATCATTTCATCTAATACACTTGCCCCTTTAGGCAATCCTTGCAAAATTTGCTCCAGAACCAGTTGTCAAATTGCTGGAGCTGATGCAATCTTATAAAAACATTCTACTTAGGAGAAAGTGGGGAAGGTTGGGACACTTTTTTTCTTTTGCATATTTTGAGCCGTTAATTCAGCATATTCACTTAAGTTGGCGGGACTAATGCATAGAGGGGTAAATGTAGTTTTTATTCAGCGACTAAGAAATTTCCTTGCGATACACATTTTATTACCAAAATGCTTTGAAAATCGTCTGTCAAGTGTTCCACTGTACCCCACTTGTGGGGCACATTCGAACAGACTCTGGGGCACAATGGGTCAGTCTGCCAAAATTCAACGAAGTATGCCCTTAAAAATAAGCACTTAATCAGCATAATCGTCTAAAGAACAGAGAGACTTCAAATTTGAAGATTTAATATTTTTTAAATCAATGTTCAACTGGAATAGTTCTGATATTTGGACAAAAAATTTTGCAAATAAAACTGATTATTTCCTTCCGTGAATCTAAATGTGGAAATATTATTGATTCTCGAATATATTCCATATTGGGCCATGGGTCGAAAGAAACCATAATACTACACAAAATATAACGCATCTCTAGGTCTCTAAGCACTTATTGTATCAAACACTGTCGAATTGTGCCCTGTAGGGCATGTCCCACTGGACCCAGGTCCATTGTTCCCCATAGGAAACAAATATTTTCAGACCATCCCACGGCGAAATTCGGAAGGCACATCTACTCGCCAACGTTATGAATATTTTACAGTGGACTAAAGCTGAAAAATATCAGACGGTGGTTTGTCATGTTGGGAAGGCTACAGTAGAAAAAAGAAAAAACTGAAACGGTGAAATTTTAGTTTCAACCTCCCAAAACCAATTTCACCTTATAGCTTGCGCCGCTCTACCCGTCCGTTGTCCGTTCGCGGGGACGTTGTAACTCACCGAAGGGCGGATTGAAACATCGAACCGCGGACAAGATTGCGGATATAGTATCAGTGCGACAGCTGATTTTCCACTGTGCCCCACCTTCCCCTACACTTTACACGATATAATCCTCTGTGTGTGTTCAATGTAACTAGATGTTTGCAGTCCTCATCTACTTCCAGTTGCAGATAAGCATGCTTTAAATTCAATTTTGTGAACTTTTGTCCACCACTTAAATTTCAAACTGGCAAAGTCAATAAATCCAAATATTACTAGATTCACAACATTCATACCTTATTCATATCGAGATTGCTCTTGAATTGTTTTCAATCTTAGAGAATTCCTAAAGATCGACTAAACAATAAGCATTGTGATTTTTTTATTATTTAGATTCAGGTATTTATCCTCGTCGTCCAAGAGCCAATGTCAAGAAATAATTACATACAATAAAACTAACGAAAAACATCGACTTATATTAAATGCCAAGATGAGATTGCCAATGAATTACCCTTATGTCCAATGTGTTGCTATTTTTCATCATTGCGAAGTTCAAAAAATAAACAGATTCAAAACGTGAACAGCAAAAGTATTATTTGGGAGTTTATAATAGGGTGGACACCTGCTTACTCACCCATATAGGAAAAATAGTATAAAATCTGCATCCAACTTTCAAAACGTATAGGATCTAACTTAAATCAACTTGACACCATTGGTCAAGACATTCGTTATTTAATAATCATCCGCGGAAGTTAAAAAGTAGAACTGACAAACGATATTCAACATTAGGTCAGGGCATGAATTTGTATTTTTTTGTAGATTTAGTCTCTTTTATGGGGCAGCTCAGCAACCTGATACTCATAATACAAATCAGTACAATGGAGGCCTTGATATTTTGTCAAAGAAGCTTACTCTGTGAAATCTCGTTATTTTATCGATACACACGGAGCATTTTCAGCTAATTACTCGATTGGTTATCACCCCGTACAAAGGGTTGTATTAAACCTACGCAAATACCCACAGTACTGTGCACCGAAATCATGCAATATTTTCAGTTTTCGAAAGAAAGTATTGGGAATATACTTGTATAACAGAGTATTTTGGTGCGCTTGTTCCGCCACACCCGAGCAAATTGTTACGTTTTTTTTCAAGTACAAACCATTCGTTAATTTAACATCAGAATACCGGAAACAAAGACCAATAGAAGATATTATAATAAGATTTACAGCTAACTTTGATGCCCCTAATGATATGTAATAAGTTCAAACTATTACCAAGACGCTAAATCAAATCAAGGATGGCTTGTCCCTTCCACATTGTCCCAGGTTTTTGCTTCAGATATATGGTAAGCCTAACACTGAGACATGCTCAACAGCATCAACAAAAGTGTTAATCAAGCAACAGAGAAAGTATTTTTCACCTATGAGTATATGATACAAATTAAAATCTCAATACACTCAATTCCCGCTTCAATTCCAAATACTTTATTTGCCACAAATGAGGTACAAACATATACAGAACATAGGAAATAGATAAAGCCACATTGGAAGTTTTGGCAGAAACCTCACCATGGTATGAAAATCAGTATTTGACGGACAATAACAAACAAGAAAAAGTATGAAAATAAATTCAATGCTGCATCATCTTCATCCCTCATTTTTTTCATTGCATTGACATAATCACTGACATTTTAATGTTATTTGGAATGCACGACGTCCCTAGTAATAAGAAAAAGTATACTGCATGAATAATTCGCCCTCTCCAACAGGCATTGTAAACATTGTCAGGTCCGCTTCCGCAGTTTAACAAGAATCCCATTTCAGATGAATTCTTATTTGTTGTTGGAATTCCACAAAATGGTACACGCTTATACCAGCGTGAATTGCAATGTCACCGTTTCCAATATTGTAAGATTCATTCAATCATCTGTTTGGCAGTTCATTGTTCAATTCATAAAGAATGGACGAGAGAATAGAAAGAACGGGACTACCTAACAGAACCGCCATTGATAATGACAGTAAACGAAGATGGTGCTTCATGAACAGGGGCCTGAAGATACAAAAATGAATTTTAAAAGGCAAATATAAATACTGATTGTCCTGCACCCAAGACTCACCCACAAGCACAAACTGTTACTAAGCTCAAAAGATGAGCTGGAAATGTGATTTTTCAATTCAAAAATCAACAAACAGGCCCATTACTTATTTTTTTATCTACTATATTAGGAAAATTTTTCAACCAACTTTTTACTACAATGATTGATTCGACTTTTGATATGAAACCTTCATACCTGTTTTCATTAATTCTAGCAAGTCTCAGTAATGTTAATGCACATCTTTTCATCATGTATGATATTGTACCGCAATTTAGCTCTTGACCAGCAGGAAACATCCTCTGGTTATTTAAACCTGTTTCTTCACATTCCTATAAAATAATGACATACCGTATGTAATGATTGATTAGGAAATATGCATTAGTATTTCAGATTAGGTGAGTTGAATTTACATTGAAAATTGAAGATGTTAAATTTCCAGAAATTCGCAATCTAGTAGCCTATATCAGTGGTTCCCAACCTTTCTACCCTGGCGGAACGGTAAAATTAAATTAAATGTACTCGCGGACCGGCGAAAAATTGAAATGACCGGAACATAAAAGAATAACATATATTTGCGTAATACAATGCAATGTCGGGCACTCAATATTCGTCTAGAGTCTAGACAAGAAAGGCAAACTTAAATACAGCTCACACGAAGAAAAACTATCAAATAATATGACGGCGAAAAATATTTGCGTAATGAAATGCAGTGCTGGGCACCCATTATGCGTAAGAAAGGCACACATAAAACATCTCACATAAAAAACATGTACATGTCAAATCATGTACAAACGTAATTAACTCTAGTGAAAATGTTTCTGCTGTTTAGTTTCCAATATAGGATTGCAAACGATGCCTCAAGGAAGTTTCTGCAACACGTAGCCCTGCAGCGGCGTGCAGCCAATTTCCTTGCTTCGCTTTGCTAGTGATGAAAATATTTTTATATATGAGTAATAAAAATAGAAGTAACTCGTTGAAAATACGGACAACAGTTTGATTGTTCGATTACTTAGCGATGGGTATTCGTTATCAAGAGATATCCAAAATTGTGACAGTGATTCCTTTTTAAATCTGGACTGTAAAGTAGAATCACAATTTGAATCAAGCTTTTTCATTGGGTTTGTCATATCAATCCCTCTGCAGTTGATCGATGCTTCAAACGGAATGAATTTACATTACAATGACAAAGTCGTCGGTAATTTGGCACCAGGCTCAAAATCCTACTTTGTCTGCTCAAGATACTGGAAAAGATCTCAGCTTTTTTCGCTCCTCGTGACCACCTGCCATATTTTACTGGAGTATTATACTTTTCTTGACGGTTTTTTTGGTTTGAACAAAGAAATATGCATAACGTTTTATTTGGATGGTCATATTAATCAGGAAAAGCATGCAAAACAGAAAAGGCACGCGTGCCAATTTTTAGGTTTCCGAATCTTGCGAGATTTGATGGAGCGCATTCACGATGAGCAAAAAGTGTGATTACTTGGCGCCAAGATGTCGCGAAAAACATAGCAATATGACGGCGGAAGAGAAATTGCGTAATAAATCGACCTCGTCTTCAGTAAAGAGATCGGAGCGCATTCGAGATGAATCGGAGCCGAAAAAGCGAAAAGTATGATTACTCGGCGCCAAGATGTCGCAATATGACGGCGGAAGAGAAATTGCGTAATAAACCAACGCGACCTCGTCCTCGGTAGAAAAACAACAAAACACCGAATTTTTTTCGCGGACCGGCAAAAAAGCCTCGCGGACCGGCACCGGTCCGCGGACCGGCGGTTGGGAACCAATGGCCTATATCACAGATTCTAAAATGGAATTGAAATACTGAAATTCCCGCTTCATTACTAATTCCATTCTTGCAGGAATTTATCGCTGTATTGAACACTGAAACCCATTTCAGTGACACACTGTATTCAGTACAAATTATATGCAGATGATTCAAAATACTAACTGTACTCGAATAGTTTGATATTGAGCGAGTATGCTTCAAAATACATTCGAATTTAACCGTAATATAAATTCTATATGAATTTATAAATCATGACAGAAAATGTGGCCGTGGCAAATGGACAAAATTTATACCAAAAAGCAGTGATTTTCATTGTTTAAATTCTGAAAAAGTCGCATTGAAATATCATTTCTTTGAACATCCCTACTCTAAATATGCACTTGAGCATTTTAAAAAACATATATACTCTCATAAAATTAAGAGAAGGTGAAATTGATCTCTATGTTAACAATTTAAAAAATAAAATTCATATCACCGTACCTCGAGAAAGCTCAGAAGATTAGAAATAGCTCCAGATTGGAGTGCAATGGCTCTTGCTGCACTCTCTACTTCAGAGAAATTCGATAACAGAACAATGGCAAATTCCCTAAGCATTTGGTCTTTACGATTTCCAACCATTATTGTCTAGAAAAGTAGAAATTATTCAATAAGACCAACACAACAAGATCATTTCATAATAGTATCTCAAAATGTGTGTGGTATGCAAAAACTTGAATTGGGAAATATTTTATAAACCTGTTTTTAAATATTCTATACATTTAGTGATAATTAAGTAAAAAGATAAACGACTATTTGCTTTATAATCATAATAAACATTCCCAATGCAAAAAAAGAGGTAGTGATTTTCAAATGTATGTTGTAGCATAAGAATTTGTGATTTTTTATATTTACCAATTTTTGAAAAAGTTTTTCCAATCGCCTGTATGGTCTTGTCGCTAATATGAGGTCAACATTGTCTTCTTTCATGCTAAGTTTTGTCAGTATTTCAACGCAGAGACTCTGAGGTGATAATATAGTTCTAAATTGAAAATGAAAAGCAGTTAATAACAAAAACAAGAATCTTGAATATCCATATACGTTGCGCTTAAAAAGTGTTCCTGGAAAAATTTAGTAAACGATGAACACCAGAGTAGGGTAGATTCAGCAGAACAATGACTTTGAACAATGCATCAATTTGAGAAAACCATTTCAAGTTGTAAACTTGCCTTAGACTGTTACTGGGAAATGGATCTTGAGCATCAGCGGACGAGCAAACTGACCAATGTAGACATGTGTCGATAATGGTATATATTGTATTTTCATTTGTGAATTGAGACAAATTCATTGACATTGACAGGTTGGCAAGTGTGATGAGGGAATCTTCTCGTACCTGCCTCACACATTCCCACCACCATGGATGATTGTAGAACCCATAAACATCTTCTCTGTCACTGGCGTTTTCATGAAGTACTGTAGAGCTTAGCAATATTTTTGCACTACGACTATGATCATTTTGTGCATTCTCATGCTTGATTTCGGAAACTTGATCATTGTCATCTAAATGCTCTATTTTATCATTTTGATCCTCATGTTTACAACTCGATATAGACTTCACAGTTTCATTTGCAAGTTTTTGGTGGGTGTCTTCATGCTCAATCGGCCTTATTTCATTTTGCAGTTGTTTTTCTGCCAAACATTCACCATTTATTGCAGCAACACGTGTATCCTTTATGATATTATTTTTATTAGTCTTCTTGTCAGAACATGGCAACTGTTCATCTGGGTGCGATGACTTCTTTCTGGTGGAATTAAATTTTTTATTGGTGACAATTTCAGACTGGATTTCATCTTCATCTGAACGAGGAGTATCACTGGATATTCCATTAACTTGATTCTGTAGCTCAGGCATAGATAATGTACAGTCATGCAGAGTTACACTTAGTACCCTTTTGCGGCGTTTATTTAATATTTGAGAAGCATCATTGACATTTAAATTTTCTTTTATATTTGGAACACTTTCACTCTTTGAAACTTTTCCTATAGTGTCTTCTCGGCAAGGAAGGGAAGTATTCACATCTTCCGCATTTGTATCTGTAATACCTTCTTCGGCAACAAGCGTTTCTGTAGATTCCATAAACAGAGGGGGTTTTCTGGAGTTAAAATGTCTTACCCTATGCTTGTGACATTGCATCAATGTCCCCGCTAATGTTTTCAAAAAATCTTCGTGAGTGCAAAGATCTACATGGTTGAATAACGCGCAAGACAAACCCCTGATCAAGTTGGACAAACATAAAGTTCGAGAAACAAGTTCAGATTCTTTTTCTTTTAGTTTCTTAGGAAAAATATGCTCCCCACCACTGGAAAGAAAATATCTCCCACCCTTGCTATAGGGTATTAGAAGTCCAGAATTTCCAGGAAAACCTGTTGCTTCATCTTCCATAAGCACAACATTGCATTTCCAAGAAATTCTATCAAGACAAGACTGTATGTGAGAAGCTTTATCTTCATCAGCAGCAAACAAATTGTCTGGATTTTCAGAATCTGAAAATGTTCCAGTTGTTCTCAAAATCTTAGTGTTGCAAATACTCTCTTTAACATTAGATTCAGAGTGCGATGGAAGTGAACATTCCTCACTAAAGTCATCAAGCTTATTCGGTGACAGACATCTATCGTTATTATGTACAGATAACATATCTTCAAGGGTAACTTCAGCGGCATGTTCTTCTGCATTACTGGAAATAGGCGCACAAACCTGTTAAGACAGAATGGAATATTTTATATCTTATATTACAATAACACTTCTTCAAAATACAACTTACACAGTAAACTACACAAATAAAGAAATGAGGTATTAGCTACATTCGCACTGTAAATTTTATAGCTACAATACCTATGCCATCAATGTAAGACTTTTGATCACTTCAAGCTATATGCAATACAAATTTTATATTCAAAAAAAAAACTACCTGACTAAACTACTGACTGATATTAAAAAAATAATATTTTTATATAGTATGCAAGCTTAATTTTACAGTTGCCATATAAATAAAAACATGATTAAACAAAGAGAAATTCGCAGAGACGATTATAAGTCGCATTAGAAAAGAAATTGACTAAATAAATTGTTTGCTAAATTAGTATGGGTATAAATACTTCAGATGGCCAGAGATGATAAAAATTCCAGAAAAGTTTGAGAGATTACAAAGTAAAGTACTTTCAGCAAACTACTTAACTGCACCACCTAACATGAATGGCAGACATTTCAGAAAAGTGGGTTCATAATTAGAACCAAAATGAAGTTCTGATTTAGAAGATATATGCAAATATCATTTCGAACAAACAGAAAATGATCAGAATTCATGTGGCAGATAAGTAATGGGGAACTAAAAGAAGTGTCAAGTTTGTGCTCTCTGCTATACATAAAATAAAAAACTTTTCCATTTACCGGTTTTCATTAAATTTTAAATATATTATAATGACATTTAAATAACAAATAGATGCGACTGTCATGTTGAATAAATTATGCCACCTATGTTTTAACTATCTACCATCATTTTCTCAAATCATATGTACATACATTAACATTACTTTTTTAAGCGAATTGGATGTCGAGTACACGCTGCAATGTAATCAATTTGCGATTGATCGTTGAAATATAGTTGATCTGCATGACGCAAAACAATATGATAGAGTAAAACGATCGTACAATGCTGTAATTTGCTGTTTCCTGTCTCAGATTACTTAAGAAAAGTGTTGTCTGTATCTAACGCTAGTCGCATAGATTAGGATGAGGGACGGCATAGCCATGAAACAGAATTTGCTCATTTGAAATTATTTTCGGTTTATCTTTTCATCTATGTCAATGAATAAAATTTTATAGTTTTGCTAACATTATCCAAAGTATGTTAACTTAGACGGACTTTCCACATTAGGATTAGGAAAAATTTGCTGACAAACCAAACACAATAAATTACCTTTATAATTGCTATTTAAACAAAATAGTACTCACATCATTTTTTGCATATTCAAAAACTGAATTTCCACTGAAACTTGGAATAATATGGAGCCGCTCGCTGGTCAATTCCTATGAAAGCAAAGATTTACAAGTCAAAGAAAAGAAGCATGATACTTTGTGAGAAATCAGGCAGCCCACCATATACATTCTAAAAGAAAAATCCAGCCTATGACCACTTTCCACAATCAAACGCATGCAAAATTGATTCAAGATATTACCTCCTCATTTTCACTCCACTCATCTTCCCGCAAGGAGGTGTTTTCTTCACTCTCAATGGACATTTTCACAGTACATTTATTGAACGGACTCTGTAAATTAGACGGTGCAGGAAAATCTGAAAATAGATAATACCTTTGCTCATATCTAGTCACACAATAGTCATATCAACTCGACCTTTTATATCCAACTTACATTTGCCATCCAATGTGGGCTTTGCAAAGCAATTTGCCTTGTGTTTAGAAATGCTGTCCGAGCTATACGTACCAAGACTGTCATCTTTTGTTGAGACCTCATCACTGCAATCTGGTTCGATATTGCCAGTTTCCTTATTTATGGCAAACAGTTCATGAAGACAACATCTAAAAAATAATTAGAAATATAACGATTTGGAGATCCTATTCATGACCCAATATTCTTGATAAACCTCAACAATGAAATCATGGATTTTGAGAAATTAGGTTGTGGATGCATTTTAAGAAAAATGTGTGAAGTCGAGGCTGGCTAAGTGCTTCTCAAATAAATATCCAATATTCAAAATATGTCTCAAATTCAATTATATGTCAGGAAATCTGAATTTCTGGAATGCATATATAAAAACCTGTAGTGTTCAATGACTGTATGCAACAGTCCAGGAAGTTGATGAAGCACAATATGGCGAATTGTGTTTTGGTCATGAAGCAAAATAGTCAATGCATTCAGTGCCCATGTACTTTCAGCAAGAAGACCACTCTTTAGTGACATTACTACTTTCCATGCTTCTATTACTCCAACTGAAATACGAAAACCAATATTTTTAAAAAAGTTGTTTTTATATTGCACATAGCACATTGATACATTATTTATCAAACACATGCAGTCTGCTATTTGTAAATTAAACATTCGGTTGAACTACACTGTCACAGATGTACATTGACTTATCAAGTAAATACAGTTGTAAAGTTAAACATTATACACAGATGAAATAAAGTTTAAGGTTGTTATTCACAAAAATAATATGAATAAAGTTTTTCATAGTAGGCTGTCAAATTGCTAAATTGCGTATTCTGGTCATAGAAGATTCAGTTTATTGACTGTTATGGGCTGCAAAAAACTTACCATCTTGACATGTCTTTTCTCTGAAATTGGCAAAACTTGGTTGAATGGCTTCAACGCAGCCTGGTGGAAATAACGGACCATGTGTGCTTGAGGAACCACTTTGTTGCTGACTACTGTAATTTAAATGACATACATTGTCAATGTTTCCAAGATCTTGGCACCTGTGTGCTTAACTGCATTGTATTTTGAGGTGGGTCACCAGTTTAGAGCAGGCTTTCTCAAACTGTGCCCTCAGCCTCAATAGAGCAAGAGCTTCACTAGGTATCATTTGCCATGACTGAAATAATTTAAAATGAATTGACTGCAAGTTGTAAAGTTCTTCAACTCCAATGCATTTATTCTTTCACTTTTTTTACTAACAAATAAAATAGGTGATGGGAATGGGTTAAACGCAAAACTAGATAACTTTACAGAAGGACGGCAGGCAACACAACAAGTGTTGAATCTTTGGAAGGGAGGCATGGATCATGAAAGTTAGAGAGCTAATGGTTAAACCTTAAATTGGTTTATTTTTGCCTTCAAAATGTATGAGCATATGCCATTATTTAACATCAATTTTGTAGACCTAAGTTGGCATATTGAATCGGCCAAAACTCTCACACATTGTTTCCACTTTTTTTAGTTGTGTTTTACTTGATATTCTACTGGAGTATTTTTATTACTTATATTGTGAAATGTTGTTATGCCTGATCTGTTTTGAAAGTTATGTGGTGATACATATTGTTTAATACCAATCATTGTGTTTGCATAGTTTTTCCTAGATCTGATTGAAGCTTTTAATTGTATTAATTTGTGTTGCTTCGGATATACAAGTATTACACATGAGAAATGTTAGCTTATCTGACTTCATGCAGCTATAAAATAAACTGGGTGCGTTGTTAACCAGAATAGATTATAGACAAATTGGACTCACCTAAATGGATGTTGATGTTGACTGTTACGTACATTGTGGCTAGACTGTGGGTGGGAACGAGAAGATGAACTTCTATGTATTGTTGACAGATCACTGTGAAAATATGCAAATGATGAAGTTATTTACTATAATATCTAAGAAAAGACATAATATCATTAGCATTGATATAAAAACAGCGTTTACAAATTCACTCACTTAGAATGATGTTGTTGAGAGGAAGGTGAGTAATCTTTGACGAGACCTTGCAAGAATTTCGAGGCAGAATCTGATGTACCCATTGTTGCTGATCCACGCTGCCTCGTCTGTTGAACTGCTTGAGTATTTAGGTATGGCGACACTGGGTCCGCATGTGGGCCAGGTGGACGGACATGTTTCGTATAATGATGGTAGTTTTGAGGATGGGACGACATTGGCTGAGGACCAAAATGACCAACCTCTGGATGCACTGGTCGTTGTATTGAACTTCTATTATATGGATATTGATGCATTTCGCTTCCTTGTGATGGAGGTCGTACAGGTGGGCCCTGATACCCATCCGGATAATGTCCCATGTCCTGAAACACAAAAAAAAACATTGATTTAGATACTGAAAAGGAAATAATAGGAAATGAATTATACTAACAATCAAATGTATTAATTTTTCGTAGAATCAGAAACTACCAGATATTCAACCGTATTATAAATAACATAAACGAGTAAAAATACAAGCTAGCAGATACGTACCTGAGAATTTTCAAACAAGAATAATGCCGAGCACAGAAATCTGACTATTGCAATATACTAGTGCAGTGGTTCCCAACCTTTTTATGGCTCGTGGCCCCCTTTCGGCGGCTTTTTGCTCACATAACTGTCGTTCCATTTTTGCATTTTGGGCATTAGGGATTTATATATGGGTTTGTGCGTCTATAATACGATAGTGAAGGTTATCTCTCAGTCTAGTAAAACCGCCTGTCTGCAGGTTAGAAGGCCTACCAGAGAACTATTTTGATTGGTATATTTTAAAAACCATTATGATCAAACAATTCACGCTTAGAAACCGAATACACCCTGTATTCGCAAAGAACCTATCCAGGTAATAAAACTGCGGTAAACGCCTGGATGCCACCGGCCTCAGGTTGAGAACCCCTGTACTGGTGTAAAGTGATAATCGAGAGATGTAATAGCAAATTCACTACGATGATTTGCTGAAATCATTGAAAGAAGTCAAAAATTGATTCACGAATACTTACTGATCTAGGCATTTTATTTGGTGGCCCGTAAGTCTCTATTGACTGAGATGCTCGTTTACCAAAACCAATTCTGTGCTGCATTGGAGTCATTCCGCGATAAGGTGGCTGAAAAAAAAACAAGAATACTTTGTTACAAAAGACAATAAATACCCTTTAAAACACTGTTATATTTATAATTTTTTTTAAACTATTCCAGAATGGCAAGATTTATATTATTTACCTGCTGATGATATGGGTGCTGAGAAGCATACATTCCAGGATGCATTGGCCGTTCCATCTTTGTACGGTTATCAATAAAAGGCCGGGGGGAACTTTGTGGCATTGGACTGAAAAGAGAGAGATCATTCTTATTATAAAATTAACAGGCACAATACCATGGCTGCTAAATTTATGACCATGTTACACAAAAATAAAATCAAAACATCAATATAATAATTTCATTTACGAAGTTCAAAGTACACTGTTACAATATCCAAAAATTTAATCATCTTTAAAGTTAAAATAAGGAACAATATTATCTGTTCGATATGCCATTTTTATCAAACCCTACTACTTCTAAATTGAATACTCATTATGAATAAATTTGTTCTTGCATTCGTAGTGAACTTTCATATATCTTAAATCAGGGGTTCCCAAACTTTATTGGCCGCGGCCGGAAGACTGTAGTGCGCGATGGTTTGGCCATGATATTTTTTTGAAACATGGATAGTTCGTTGACAAAGAAGACAAATCGCTGATGTTTGATTCTTTCCAATACAGAAATACGAACGCTGCCATGCATTTATATAAGAAAAATCTGTTTTCAGAGTCTAGTTTATGTTTGTTATTTGACATCTCTAAGCTTTCTTATGCGGTTGATAACTGAATTACTGCCCTATGTTATCTTAATATCGGCACCGGTACGTATAATTGAGATACCGGTATAATTGAATTGCTACGATAAACACATGCTTAAACTGTAATAATGACATAACAATTGGCAGTAGATAGATCAAGAAAAAGTAGAAACAAAATCTGTTGAACACTATTTCACTTAAGCTCGGCGGGCCATTTTAAATCGTCACGCGGGCCGCGGTTTGGGAACCCCCCGACTTAAATCATGATTTTCATATCAGCATTTGAATGGAAATGAAGTTATTTTGAATAATAATGAGAACAAATCACACAAAATAAAAGAGTAGATTGTCTTAAAAAGTCATAGTATGAACCACTTTTTAACAGTCCTGACCAAATTTAAATCTATTCAATTAAAAATTGTTTAGTTCAAACTCAAATCCAAAGTTATTTGCACACTAACTTTAGTATAGCATTACATACCTTCCTGCTGCAAATGGATAAGAACTCAGAGGGGACGGGGCATGAACAGGACGATTCATCTCTTGTTTCATTGTATTCTGGGGTTTTGGAGGAAGACCAAATTGATTTGGCATCTGGGGCTGAGATGGTTGTAGCTGTTGTGTTGGATCAACTGCCTTCTCAGAAGACTTCTGATGCAAAGGATGTGTTGTTGTTTGAGGTGATTGAGAAGGTGAGGACATTAGTTCACTTTTTGTGATTATTGCTTTCATATCTTCAGATGTATATACAATGTCCTTGTTTTGTGTGTCACCAGTATTACTGGTGGATGGAACTGGTGTAGAGCTGGAAGACGATGTCAGAGCAGGTGTCGACGGTGCAGTGTTTGGAAGATTAGACTCCGTAGTTTCTGTAGGTTTGGGCGTAGAAGCTGTTGATGGAAAATGAGTAGCATCTGACTTGACATCATTTTCCTGAGTGCTGGACACAGTTGTTGTTTCATCTAAAGAAAAGAAATTAGCAGAAATATGAGTGGACATTTTTTTCATGTGATGATTAATACCACACAGATGCCCAATTCAAAATAATCCTAATAGTTGCCAACCGGTCATGAAAACCCCAAAGAGTAAGCAAGACAAATCTGACAGCATAAAAGCAAGATATTTTCGAGATTCAAGGTTATTCAGAAGGAAGAAGTTGTACACCAATTTCATTATCTGTTCATATGCATGAATTATATTCACCACTAAATGAGGATAAAACATCCAATATTACCAATGCCACTGTTAGATAAAATATATTTAAAAACTAGTATTTAAATACAAGTATATGAAATATATCTTGAAATTTAAAAACAAAATTCCATGCCTAGTGATGTCTGTACATTTTCAGAAGTACCAGCCCCTCCTCCACTATCATTCCCTGACATAACTGATGCAGGTTTCGGCCAATCAGTAAGGTGTGGATTAGCAGAGTCTGCATTCGGAACAGGAAAAGCATTCGATTCACTCAAATTAGGATTGAGAGACGGTGCCATGCTTTCAGCAGGTCGTGGGCCATCACGATAATAAGGACTGTTGATATTTGATATTGGTAAAGACACCACAGGACCTGGTGGTCTGATTGCCTCCTGATGAAGTTGCAAAGTCTGGTTAGGATCTGTTTGAGCCTGGTTAATATATCCATTGTTTGCACGGTACAGCATTTGATCACCGCGATATTGTTGTTGCTGCAGTTGTTGCGGGTGCCCATAAGACGTAGGGGGTATTGATGGGTCATGTCTATATTGACCATGTTGACCATGAACATATGGCATTCCATGATTAGGCATTTGCATGTATGGTACACTATTAGGTTCCATGTGACTGCCAGGCATGACTCTGCGACGATGTTGAGAGTACGGATCCATTTGAGAAGATGGTAAGTATTGTTTGGGTGGGTGAACCTGACGCTGCATATCAGGGTGAACTCCTGGGTGTGGTGGCCTCATCATTGCAGGGTTCATCGGCTTATTTTCTCCCATCTTCACTTGTTGTTGTTGTTGGTCAGCTTGTTTCTTTTTTCTATTTGCTTCGATAACCCTGAGTGAAAATAAGTCAATTATTTAACTGAAGATAACCAATTTTTCGCTATAATAAAAACTTCCTCTACTTTGGACAATTTGAAAATATGACTCTGACAAGACTAATTCTGGTATTTTTTTTGAATAATTGCTTACACAGTGTATGTAAGTTTTGTTCAGAATCAGTATTTCAACCCAATTCGGTATTACTTTCTAAACTCAAAAGATATGTAGCACAACAAAAGAACTACACTCTTCCCATTTAAGAATAATTCCAGCAATTTTCTCTTGTATGAAATGATAAAAAAACATGAAAATCAGTAAAACACAAACTGTTGAAGTTGGACAGAACACAAAAATTGACAGTCTGTCTATCTGAAACTATTCTGATTAAATTTAGAAAATTCTCAAAAAAACTAATTTGCCTTCAATAAATTTATTTATTTAAAAAAGGTTATGCTATGAAATCCCAAATAAAAGTTTAATTAATAGATGGTAAAGTAAAAGTTGGGACAGTAATCTATGCCAAAAAGAAAATGAAAGGAATATAGTGGTTTTCCCAGTACAGGAATAAAATACGCTAGTAAAGTCAAAAAGAAAATAGATAGAAACAAGAGTTTTCCTCAATTTTGAAAATTTGCTCACGTTAAACTAGTTGTACAGAAACTTGTTTGAAGCATACACAAAGGATTCTCCGAAGTTTATGATGCCCGATTTGTTAACACATGAATTATTTTGCAATCATTTCGAAATTGTACGAGATGTGTTTGGAAATGAAATAGTTGAAACTTTGCATTCGGCGAAAGTTTTCAAAATCGACTTGTCATGAGACATAAAGAGATCATAAAAAAGAGAGGCAGAGAACGATTTTTCCATATCATGTGCTTCGCACTTTTGAGAGCTGTTCTGACTTAAAATTGGCGAAAATTTTCAATTCTAGAATATCTTGATGTAAAGTGATCATGATAAAAAAAATCTAAATTATGCATCTAACTCTGCATTTCCCATCAGATAGATTCTGATAAATGAACTACATCTCTTTACCATTAAAGGAAACGACTACGACTACAGAAGAGATGGTGAATTCTAGTCCACTGATGAATGTAAACTCACAAAAAATATAAAAAAACATGATGACCAACCTAGCAAGAGCTTCTTGGGGTTCAGGCTCACCCCGCTCAAATCTGCATTCGAAGCCATATAAATACTTGCAGTATTGTTTTTTCAATGTGAAGCCAGTAGCTGAAGTATTTCCCAAACCCATTGCATTTGATATTTCTGTCCATTCTTTTGACCTGGTAACCTGCAAAAAAATAACATGAAACGATGATACAACGATTTTTTCATTAATTTAGTGCAAATATTAATTGAATCAGAATGAAGGGAAGATAGAAATATTAGATAAAAATTATAATTTTTTAGTGTGCATAATCACCCTGATAATGTGCAAACATTGGCTAATAGTGGCCATTGTTAAAGATTGAGGTGACAAATATATTACCTGCTCAACACTAGAGAGGGTGAAACTAACTAGTCTGAAAGAAAATTGAAATCATAGTAGAATAAATACTTCAACTTTATTGTAAACTAATAAGCTTCAATTATGCAGGATTAAACAGTTATATTCTTGAGTTAATCTTATCAATGATGGTGATATTACAGAAATATTTAAAATATCCAATAAGGTATCCAGGCAGTGGCGTAGCCAGGGGGTGTTTTCGGCTCGAAACCTAAAATCGTCGATTGTTTTTGTCAGCATGACATGTTATTGAGGCTGTAAACACCTTGACACACCCATGTTGATGTATATTCTCCCTAAATCACAAATTTGTGCCCAAAAACGATTATAATTACTTTATTTTTGTACTCGTTAGAGAATTGTGAATCCGGTGAGAGTTATACATTCATCAGCGACGAGATGCTAAAGACAAATAAAGGTGGGCGACGCAAATTTTTTGATTGAAAAGCGGCAAATTAAATAATAAAAATAAAACCCTAAACAATATAAGTATTGTTGTAGGAGGCTCGTGCCGGATTAAAAACGCTTATCTAGGCATTGTAGATCGCAAAATCGCAAACACATTATGTTTGGTCGGCGTTGGGAATCACACCATCACAAAATTGAAACGCTTTATCCATTACTATTGCTGTCGAAATTTTCGTGTAGATATTATGCAAGGTTGGAAACGAGACTTTTTCCAGAGTTGTGATGATATATAAGATAATTGATTAAAGTATATTCAATCAATTTCCATTGTACTAAAATAAATTTCACTCCTTGAGATCTCATAGCAGACTAGGGATTTTTCTAATGATTTTATCTTAAAAATAATTTGAGCATTACAATAGAGCGGAGTCAGTGTTGCAAGTACATCTCAGATTTGTCGAATTCGCGAAATGGCAAAAATACTTATCAAAACTAGATATTATCGGGCAGTTTACCACACCTTTCTATTTCCGAGGATTGCCGTGGTATTTTAGAGTAACGATGCTTTTATTTTGTTGATGCAACCGCAGGTTAAATTGAAGACAAATAAATTAATAACGCAAGACATTTTAAATATGCCTGTATCGGTCATCGATTGATTACTTTGCACAACAAAAAAATCATTATTATCCGTCGAAAAAGTCGTTCCGCTGGGATTTTGAGGCGATGAATATGTATTTTTGATTTACTGATATACTTTACATGTGCCGGTATTTAATTGTACTCTACGGGATTTTATTACAGATCTTGAGATTTTCCTGGCGGCGATAACGAATTCGCAAGATTTGGACGATCGATTTAGACTTCATTTCCATAGAACTAATGTCAAAACAAACAAAACCGTTGAAAAACCACTAGAAACCTTGCCAAAACCGTCAAAAACCAATAGAAACCTTGCCAAAATGTGCAAAAACAGTGAAAACCCGTCAAGAGCCAAATCGGAGAAGCTCGGTCCCAGAACCAAATCGTATCACATTCTATATATTATGAGAATCTATTTTTCACACACAAACCTCTTGCATAAAACCCTTTTTCTTGACATGTTGATATAATGTAAATAAATCCAAAGTACGTCGTCCCATCAAAGGTGCATGTTTTAGTGGTAATTCCTTCTCTTCCCAATATTGTAAGACCCTATCTACAAATTCTTTTCTTCCTGGTTCATCGGGTGGGTCATATAGTGCTGATAATTTCTGTGATGATGACCTTGCTCCTGAGGCAGAAATCTATGTAAATAACAAAAAAATACATGACACGAGAATGTGTGAAATTTCTACTATGTACTAATAGTGAATGCAATAACTCAAACATCCTAATAGTTAATAAGGTTAAACGGTAAATAATATTTACCATGAAACCATATCATATCAGAACTTTCCATTCTTCACTTCCTCCATAAATTACAAAATGACATCATTGTTCTACAATATTCTCTTTGATTGATTGAACATAATTTGAATGTGAATATAGGGAAGAAAAAAAACAATCACCTTAGGCTTCATGTCATCAACATCATGCATCATACTGTTCTCCATTGGACCCACTGCATTTGTCATGGTTAGATGTGGGTGATATGAAGGATGTGGACGGTCATCATAACCATGTGGAACATATCTCATTCGCATATCTGGAGAATTAGTCGGTTGCATTCCGGGGTCTCTCCATTGGGGCATATGACCTGTTGGATATTGGTGCCCGCCTGGTGGCATAACTCTCTGCATCATGGGTTGTCTTGGTGGAGGTGGATGATGGTAACCTCCAAATGAATGGTTTTGATAAGCAGCCGGGTCATGAGGAGGTTGTGACTGCATACCCATGTTAGCTTGCTGCACATTAGAATAATTAGGATGAAAGGGCATTCTGTGTTGCATCGGTGGTGGCATGTGTTGTGGTGGTTGTTGTTGTTGTTGTGGTTGTTGCTGGCCATGCATGGGTATCGTAGGATTCTGAGATGGCAGTATCGCCGGACCGGGTAGCTTGTGGTAGACGGAACTGGAAAATATAATATACAAGTTAAGAGTGGGTAGCTCAAAATAACTAAAAATAAACAAATTGTTAAGCAAGTAACCGTATTAATAAAATATCACACTAATTTGATACTATATTAATCTAAAGAGTTCAAGTCTCTATAACATAGGAATTCTAGTCTACCAGCAAAACAAAAAGAATAAATTATCGCAAATGTCATTTATATAGATAATTACAATTTTCAAAATCTTACTTGGTTTTAGCACTGTGGGCAGCAGCCGCCATCGCAGCTGCAGCGGCAGCGGCTGCACCACTGATTCCATTAGAGTTCACAGAGTTAGGCTGTGAGTTTTCTATGGGTTGCTGTTCCATATTATACTGAGAATTAGATGAATTCGCTGGTGAAGGTTGAAAACTCTGGTCTATTTGATTACTCTGTTGTGGGACATCAGACCAACTGTTGCTACCTTGTGACATGGAAGGTGAACCGCCATATTTAGACCGCATTCCATACATTTCTGATTTTTCAGGAATATTGTAAGTTTGACGCTGCTGTTGGGGATCTGAAATAGTTATTTGAGTAGAGTCGTGAATATGAGTTTATTGAATATGATCTACTTTCATGTTATTGCTTTTTTTGCATTATCTCGACCAAGAATGTCTAAACACTTTGCTTCTTTTATCAGTTTCTCTTGATTCCCAATTGATCATGGTTGTACATTAGCATTGGTTTGAAACATTATGCATAGTATGGCATTTTGTAGTCTTTGTCATACGCCGAAGGTTACAAATTGTGCATTTTGTCAAGAAGACGTGTTTTTTTTTCAATTCTCAGTTTTTAATCTACACATGTATGTTGTTTTCATAATCTTTGTACAATGCCATTAAGTAATGAAGTGTTTACTAATAGATTTAACAATTATTCGTTACAAATTCGTTTCTTCGACCATTTCCATCAGTCAAAGAATTAAACGAATCAAAGTCAATTTGCCTTATATTAATGTAGTCATTGTGAATGTTCGCATGTGGCCCCTAAAGAACCGCTGCATAGCAGCCTGATAGTCATTCTAAGCCCAGTTTATCATGTGCCAGTAGTATTTCATTCAATTTTGTTTATTTAGATCAGAAACTGATGACGTCAACAGATTTTAAATGAATAGATTGAGCATGAGGGAGAAAATAGGGTGAGAATTTATACAATCCGTGCTGGAATCGCAAATTGCATGAGTTAGCAACAGACGGTGCATAGCAGACAATGGTATTGAAAAATATAAAACAAGTACCGGTAGTTGATATGATTTTTTTTATTTACTTACAACTTATTTTTATAGAACGTAAACAAAGAATTTTTAATTTGAAGATTTTTTCCATTGGCACCTTAGAAGTCCGAAATGTGTCTGCATAGAAATTTGAAGCGTTGATCAAACTATATTGTTCGATTCCTAACCAATTTTGAATGTTTTACTACAATAATTCCAACATGTTAACAACATTCCGACTTTAGTATGTTGCTTGTAGTACGATGCATTGCCAAAAATATTTGACACTAACTATTAACAGTTATATTATTACTATCCTTGCCTTAAAAATTGTGTTTCAGGCATACGCACACATGCGAACAATGCCCTCACATAGCTCAATTAAACTCATTAAGTCTTGGAAATTCATTGGAATTGCTTAAACTCATTCACTTAATAAACACATAATTTTTCATAACATTGAAAACAATTGATGAGAATTTTGCTATAGACTATTTAGATAAAGTAATAGGTGTTCAATTTGAAATAGAAAATTCTTCATTTCAAGAATAACATGGAAAATTTTCATTTGAAGAATGTGGAATCAGTCCAAACTGAGGTCTAATATTAGAACCAAAAACCGGCTCATTTATCTTGATTGTAGAATTAATCAATTCAAAAAATGTCATCTTAACATTCCAAGCAATTAAAACTACAAAGAACAATCCCTAGATTTTGAAAATTTCTCTGTAGAATATGGTCTAATTTACAGTGTAATCAATATTTTAAAATAATATTTTATACTATGCGAGCTAGTGAATTATTTGGTTTTTGAAATATTTTATATTTCTAATGCTATGAAGATAGAAATGTACTACCTGACATGGAAGTGTCAACAGCATGATCAGAGGGTGATTTCATCATCGGCGTCATTCAGACTAGAAACTTGATTGCGAAAATTCACAAAAAATATATATTATATCAAAATACCACCATTAGTAAACTCCTACAACAAATATTACAACTAACTTGAGTCTAAGTTCCATAGTCTGAAAAACGAATTCAATATTTATCATTCAATAAAATGAAGACAATGCTAAAAATATCACTCTTTGGATTAGGAGATCTCCAGGTTCTAGAAATAAAGTAGAATATCACTATTGATTAGAAGATAAAAAAATTCATGAGACACCGATTATTATTAACCGATGTTATAAATTCCATGAACAAGCTATCACCAACAGAGGATAGAAACTATGATACATCATTAAACCTATGCACCAAAAAGTTAATCATTAAGACCTTTGCAGCAAAATTACCAATCAAAATAAATGGAATCCTTGCTATTGAGAAAAGTTTGAACTTTAAAAGATAGGTATTATAAACCTTAGATCAACCATTATCTACAATATTATGGTTCATAATCATTTATGTCAGAACATGACAAAAATTACTATTCATATAAAATAGCAATATGTAACATGTTTGTTTCATAGTACCAATTTCAGAGATTTAAAAATGGTGGACATTTATCATTGCACAATAAAAAAAAATAGACTGTCAGATTCACAATCAAAGGTGTTATAGATAAATATTTCATTATGGCAAACTTCATACATACAGATACACAAACACATCGGCAGTGACAAAGGAGATAACTAACCCTAGTTGTCCCGCAAGTAAGTTAACGTTAAATAGACTTCTCGCCCCACGGACTGTTTAGACCACAGGGCGGTTCAGTTATGATTTTGTTTTCCATTTCCCTTGGAACAGTGGGAGTTGTTTAAAAATAATAATATAAATACATGTAGATTTATTACATAGTTAAAGTTACCAGATGCATAGTTAGGGTTACTGAAGCTGTAGGTCAGTCGCTACTATAGTGAATAAATATCTGTAAATAAATCTCTAAATATTTGTGTATTTATATATTCCTATACTCTCACAGCAACTTCCTATACTACCACAGCAATTGCAAGTCGAAGTCGTAACTGATACTGTTATATGCCAGCTAGTGACCAGAAAAATCCTTCTGACCAAATGTCTGTGGAGCCAAAAAGTCTGTAAATTGGTTACAGTACCCCTTATGATGTTATGTATAATTACAGTCTACTACAGGCCTGCACAACTCAAATTACCACGAGGGCCGCAAGCATAAATTTGAAGGACCGGCGGGCCGCAAACTTTGTCACATACATATTTCACAAGATGAACTACAAATCAAAATGATATTGTGAAACAGTTAAATTTAATGAAACACTTTCATTACTGGGGAGCTTGAAAATATGAAGAATCTTATTTTATTGAGTAAAAACTAGGTACAGTATTTTGCATATGAGATGGCAAATATATATTTAGTGGTTCATCATCCTTGAAAACCCACCCTTCATTTTCAATATTTCTTTTTTATTAGAATTAGGTATTGCCTGTTGCAGTATAAACTGAGTGCAGGAAAATATTTTACTCGGGTTCAGTTTTGTAAAATCGTCCCAAATATATGTATGACAATTTATTTAGTCATATCTACCATTATTGGATATTTCCATTGTAGGCTAGACAAACAATCCGTTTAGTAGCAATAGATCTTCCTCTGTTGTACTTTTTCGACTGCTAAATTACATTTTTCTACAAAATCTGCTCCAATATATTTGAAATTTTACAATAAATAGCAATATCCTTTGTGCGAGAATTTCTGCACTATTCATAAATGAAGAAATTGTTTTTTACGGTAAGTTCTAAATTTGAATCAAAAAAGAAACTTCAGTTTTATAAACTGCTAGAAAAAAATAACGGGGTTATTGATATGATGCTAATATGCACTAATGGGTGTGAGATTGTATACCGATATTGTTTTGAGCATGATTCAGTCTGACTACTGAGATATCTAAATCAGGGTTTTGCAAACTGGGGGGCGAGAGGTCGAGCGACGACTTTTAAGGGTTGCGAAGGGCACATCAATTTCACACAAAGTTTGATATTTATTGAAACTAGTGTAAAACAGAAATCTCACGATTTCGAATATGATCGGAGTAGCGGCGCGCTTGCATAACAATGCCGTCTTTGATTGTTAGACCCGAGAAGTGGCGTGTTTCCAAATCACCCGCGGGCCGCACAGAAGTATCAAGCGGGCCGTATGTTGTGCAGGCCTGGTCTACTAATACTGAAATAATACTGCAGTATTTGCCAGTAGGCCACTAACATTACAATTCAGCAATTGAAACATGAATGATAGAGAATTCGCATATTCAAGAGCATAAATGCACATAAAAACAGCAAAACTACAAACGCAATAAGGCACAATTTTCCGATTTCAAGATGTGCCAACATTTGGTTCATTAAAACAAGACGCCCAACTTGTCTCTGAAACGAGGGCCTTTGGCATGGCGGCCGATTCGTCACATCACGCCATACTTTTGTTGATGATAATTTGAATCAATCGTGATGTGCATTGGCCCTCACGTCACAAAAACTGCATTTTTTTGCTAGCGACTCTTGAATGCTACAGTGAAATTTTTTTCTTCTGAAAATATTAATGTCTCTTAATGTGGGGCTATTCTTGGAATCAGTCAGCTGCGCCCTACTGAAATATGTATAGTACATACTAGAGTGGCATATGAATCTTATAACTATCAGAGTTGCAATTTTCTCTGTTTAGTAGTATTGGCTTTTAATTAGGCTAAGACCTCAAATTATGACCTGGTGCAATTAATACAGTACAGTACACTATCCAAATTCCAAGAATTTCCCTCCATTTGGCTCAATAAAATAAACACTCTATGTGTCTCACAAACGAGGGGCGTCTGGGACCACGTCAGATGCTTCATATCGCGCCTTGCTTGTCTCAATAATAATCTAAATTAATCGCGGCTGTCACGTGACCAAAATTGCCGTTTTTTGCTAAGAACTCTCGAATGCCACGGTAAAAAAATTTTTCCTTCCGTAAATCGGATTATTTTTTCCCAAGGAATTCAATGATGACGTTATTAGATTGCGCTTTTCTGTAGTATTTTGCGCAACTCCATTATACTGTATTATTACCGATATTGAGGGACAACAGTGTCCAGACGTGTTTCTCTGAAACAGGACAATGTCACCCGATCTGTATAGTGTGCCGTACTGTAATATGTGTAAGTTTATTGAACATGGTATACTTTTTTATTTGTTTTACTGTTTTCATGGCGGGTGTAATTAAATTTCAAATATAAATTTACAAATGGCCAGACTGTCCTGAAGTTTAGGAAAATCTATAATAACGATACACAAACTTCTCGTTCCATGTTATTTAGCCATCACCACCCATCTCTACCAGCACAAAAACGACAAAGTGTAGCTGTGCATTAAAATACAAATAAGCTCAATCCAAATCGCCATTATAATTTGGTCTCGAAATAACGATTCTCTAAAGGAAAAAATTTGACCATAGTATTTTGTAACTCTTCAAGAAGAAATTGGATGAGAATAATTCCGTTAGTTATGTAGCATACTTCTAGCTCTGCATACATAACATAATCAGAAAATTTTTTTTTTTAAATTGAATTGATTAAACACTGGCATGTAGTTAAAAAGCGTGCTTATAAGATGAATGCAGAAATGAGGAAATAGGTTACCATGATCTGATTATACTGAATCTGGTATTTTAATCTCAACTGTTCCTGTATTCATTCAATATGCAGAAGCTGTTACTAGACATACTAACATCAGAACATATGAACATAGAATAAATCTGTAAATAGATCTTTTCTGTGTATCAAGTACACAGGTGGAATCCACTGCCAAGATACCAACACTTTTGTTCACAAATTTGTGGCCAAATAGTCTACAAACAACGTTTGTTGTCTCGTCTGAAATGTAAAAGCATCTTCTTTTAAAGTCCGAATATATCTGAAAGCAACGATAGGATACAGCGATACTAGCTGACTGGACAAATACAACCCGCATAAATTACCGAACTACGCTGAAAACGGGCCAAGAAACAGTTGGAGACAATAAAACGGGTTCCGAAATCAAACGTACGACATGCCTAGTACCGTATTATACTCCGGAGAAACGAATCCGCCGTTTCTGTATGAGTGTTAACTCGCGGGAAGCACGGCTCAACGACCTCGCTGTCATTTCTCACTTATAGGAGGTTGTATCGCCATCGCACACACACAGAGATAGATAGACTGAATACAAAACACACACATTCATCGACGGCGAAGGCAAACTGACACGGTCGAGCGATATTGGCTGTTTATTTTACTCCCCCTTCACTGCGGGCGTCTTTCGCTCTCGCCTTTTCTATATTCGCCTCTTAGGAACAGCGTTTCGGTATTGTTGACGTCGCTCGACTAGGTTTCAGATATGGATTTTAAACAGCGTTTCGTAAAAACGCGTATGAGAGAGAGAGGAATTGATATGGTTGATGCTACGGGCATGACACAGCTTCGCTACTGCTGTACTGCAAAGCGCCTTAGTCGATATTTTAAAATAGTTAAAATAACCACCGTGGATCTGCTGTATGGTTGATGCTACGGGCATTACACAACTAGTCGGATAGCCGATAATAGTTGAAATAACCACCGTGAACCTTGAAAACATTTTGGAAAGCACAAACATTTAAGTTTTATCCGACTATAAAACTATATTGCGTGTTATAGTCTATGAGTCTTAAGAAGGCCTTGCTATCTTCGCTTGATTTTTTTTACATTGAACCGCGATCTACTTCCGTCACGCTAAACGCGCCTTCACGTCGAATAGATAGGTGATCTTGCTAGGCAAGCAACAAGACATTTTTGGGAAGGTGGACATTACTGGCCGTTTAAAAAACTGTTAATACAGGCGTTTCCACAATATTCAAAGCAATATATTTGCTGGTGGTATTGCTCCCCCAGTCTATCTTTTACCGAAAAACGATGTGTTACTTTTTTGTGTTTTTGTTATCGTGATGGCTGTTTTTGGTTGAGTAACGGGGGAGACTAGAGGTATTCTGCGTATTGCAGAGCTCACTTAATTTTTCAATAGAGTAAGTTTGGTGGCGCTGAGCCGCTGACCATCCACAGAATAACGTTGATTACAAAGAAATTTAACGAGATATGAAAATCCGAAGCCTTTCTATCACTGTTCCACCGCGATCCTGTGCGAGATACATCTTTACGATTATCAGGATTAAAATTGGCCAGCAGCTCAAGTTATTTGTTCTTTGCTAATAATCAGAAATTACACAAATAAAACGATATTTACAAGGATGTGAACTTAGGTCACAATTTTAGAAGATGCTCCAATGCTGGAATAATTCCAGTATTTTGTGAAATATACATTAGGCTAAAAGTTAAAAAGTTCCTTCGGAGGCAGTTCCGTATACCCCAGGGTTAGTCCAACCTTCATGCCCGAAGGGCCACATGTAATTTACAAGAGATTGCGCGGGCCACTTAAGATGGTAGTTATGTTCTAGTTGTCACTACACCGAGTACAGGTTAATGAAAAAACAAACAAAACCCTCACACCAAAATTATAAAAACAATAAAAATACGAAGATACAGTAAAATCATAAGTTTTTACCACACATAGATATTTTAATGTGGGATATAGCACTGCTTTTATCCAACAAGTTTGTCAATATTCGATGCGTAAACGATGTAGCAATGCGAAGCGAATTTTTCATATGACCGTCAGAAATTAGTGATCTCACGTGAAATGACATGGTTCCTTCGTGAAAAAAACTTTCTCGTACAAGTAACGTAAGTGCTGTCAAATATTGAGGTCATAAAAACTGCCTCTTCTATCTTCACAGAAAAAAGGCAGGAAAATAGATTGAAATACATGACAGACGATAAAAATAAATTCGTAAACCTCTCTCCAGCAATAACGCCCGCAAAGAGACTTAAAAAAGCTTCCAATAGGCGGGTGGTGCTACTCGCGCGTTTGAACGACAAGGAATTTTTTTTTTTATTAGAGGTTTCAATAGTGGCTCAGATTTGTGAAAGACATCGGGCTTCGAATAATAACCCGTGGGCCACGAGTTGGACGACCCTGGTATAGACCATTTTCCTTAGTGAATCAGGGATATTATCTTGAACGGAAATAATTGATGAATCAATTTGTGCAATTGCTTTGGAAGCCAAAGAGCGTTTCAATCACTTTGCTTATTCCAATGTAATAGCAAATATTGGGAAAGATAAAAGAAAAATACTGCAATGACTTGAAAATAATTCGTCAAACCACTCCACTTTCTTGTTTAGGGCAATACAGAATTACATTCCTATCAACTTGAATGAAAATTACTTGGTTATTATTCAGTGGCGGCGCGTGGTCATTTTGACAACCGGGGCAAGCTACTGCGGGACCAAGTCACCCCCATCTACGGGGACAGGATGAGCGCTGTAAGTTCTCCCATCATTTTATGAGTATAAAAACCATTCCATCGGTAACAACCAATCGGCAAAAGCGACAATTTTTAACGATAAG